ATAAACAACTGAAATATTTACTACGTAAATATTAACATTTTTTACATGGGGGCTCAACCTCTGAACGATTAAATAAGTTGAAAAGGAGCTCAGCGCAAGAATGATAAAGAATGCCTGTATGTAGATCGAACAAAAAGAAAAAGGAGAACGTAGCAGAAGGAAATCAAGTTTAAGTTGAACAAGTGGAAGCTGAAAAAGTTGAAAGCGAAGAAAACGTATTTAAGTTGATAGAAGTTGAAAAAGCCGTGGACGACAACAAAATGCAGTCAACCACGGACGTTTGTGGCAATTCTGCCAATCCAGTTGAACTGCTGGAGTTGCTAAAAGCGCTGGAATCGTGTAAGAGTGTCTCCGTCGAACAATTTGCAAAAATCGTTCCGGACTATGATGGTGTCACAATTCCAATTGGAAAGTGGTTGGCGAATTTTAATGAGAATGCTGCCGCATATGAACTAACAGAAAAAAAGAAGTACGCGAATGCGCGAAACAAAATGAAGGGAACGGCAAAACTATTCTTGGAAGCAGTAAGCGTATCTAACTACGAATCTCTGTGTGAAGCGCTAATCGACGAATTCGACGTGAAGTTCAGCAGTGCGGACGTACATCAGAAGTTAATGCAAAGGCGAAAGAAGAACGATGAAAACTTGCACGAATATGTGCTGCAAATGAGAAAGCTGGCAGCATTAGGGTCGGTGGAGGACGAAGTAGTTGTTCGATACATTGTCGACGGACTGCAGGTACGTGACGATCTAAAATACCCATTGTATAGTTCCAAAACATTTAAAGAGCTAAGAGACCGTTTTGAGATTGTACAGCAAATGAGTTGCAAGCAGAGCAGCAGTGGCGCATTACAGAAGCAAAACTATACAAAGCATGCGCAAAAGGGTAGAGACGGCGACGGCGAGCCGCGCGCGGTCGGTAAACAACATTGCTTCAATTGCGGGTCAAACACACACATGCGTTCGGAATGTAAAGCTGAAACGAAATGCTTCAAATGCAGCGGCAATGGTCACATTGCGAAGAATTGTGAGAATCAGAAGCGAACGGTGAGCGTAGTAATGAGCGATAAACGAAGTAAGCAAATGCAGATTGGCAACAAATATTTTTCGTGCTTGATAGACACAGGTGCAGATGTGTCGCTTATGCAGCAAAGCGTTTATTACGAAAATTTCGGCAAGCACAAGCTAAAGAAGAGTTTCGCGAAATTGTATGGGTTGGGGAATATTCCAACAGCGGCGAAGGGTGCGTTGACAGTAGAAGTTGAGGTTGATAATATAAAAACACAACATACATTTCTTATCGTAGCTGATAGCAAAACAAACAACGAAATTATTGTAGGCTACGATTTTATCCAACAATTCCAATTAGAATTTAATACTAATGGGTACTTTTTCTCGGATAAGACGAAGCAAATACACGACGAAGACAAATTGAAATGCATATACAATATCGTAGAGAAGGTGCCTGAAATTGTTGTTTTGCCACAATTTAAGAGCGTCGTTACGAAATTAATTAATGAGTACAATCCAGTAGTTAGCCCGATTGAACATCCTATTCAGCTGAAGATAATACCAAAAGACGATTTTATTAACTTCAATGAGAGTCCAACTCGACTGACTACAGCAGAGCGCAACGTTGTAAAGAGCCAAGTAGATGAGTGGTTGAAACTTGGTATAGTTCGGGAGTCCAATGCAAACATAGCAAGTAAAGTAGTCTTGGCAAAGAAGAAAGACGGTGGTTATCGTGTTTGCATAGATTACCGTAAACTAAATGCTGCTGTGTTAAAGGATCGTTTTCCTGTGCCAAGTGTTAGAGAAGATGCAGTCAGCGAAATTTTTTTCTGTAATGGATCTCAGAAATGGGTTTTTGAACGTACCGGTGGAGGAAAGTAGCCGAAAATACACAGCATTTGTAAACAAAGAAGGCTTATATGAGTTCACTAAAGCACCATTTGGGTTTTGTAACTCGCCAGCAGTGTTCATGCGGTATGTTAATTACATTTTTCGGCAGATGATAAACAATGGTATTATGGAATTATGGTCGTAGACGATATAGTCGTTTTCGGACAGACAGCGGATGAGTGCCTTAAGCACGTAGAGAAGGTATTGCAGAAGGCGCAGAGTTTTGGTTTAGAAATCAAGTGGTCAAAGTGCAAGTTCTTAAAAGACAAAATTAGTTTTTTGGGTTATGAAATTCAGAACGGTAGTATTTGGCCTGGAAGAGATAAAATTAAAGCTGTTAAAAATTTTGTTGTACCGAAAAATATTAGGGGCGTGCAAGCTTTCCTAGGGTTGACGGGATACTTTAGGAAATTCATCCAAAATTATGTCATCATGGCTAGGCCGCTAACACAGTTGTTGAAGAAGGAATCTGAATTTCAAATTGGTCCGAAGCAACAGCAAGCAATACTTGATTTGAAGACAGCGCTTACGCAAGAGCCCGTTTTAAAAATTTTTAAACAGAATGGTAAAACACAACTTCATGTAGATGCGTCCAAGTATGGGTTTGGCGCGACATTAGTACAAGAACATCCTGTGTTTTATTGGAGTCGAAAGACTTCACTGCAAGAAGAAAGACTTCATAGTTACTTCCTTGAAGTCAAAGCTGCGTACTTAGCAACTAAGAGATTACGACATTATTTAATGGGCATTCAGTTTGACCTCGTTACCGATTGTGCGGCGTTTAAGCAGACAGCCGCTAAAAAAGACGTACCCAGGGAAGTAGTTCAATGGCTTATGCATCTACAAGATTTTAATTGTAATATCGAGCATCGAGCGGGAGAGAGAATGAAGCATGTTGACAGCTTAAGTCGTTATCCGGTCATGGTGTTTACGTCGCAGGTGCAAGTACAAATTCAGAAAGCACAACAAACCGATGAGCATCTAAAATCGGTAGCAGCAGTTCTCGACAACAAACCATACGCAGATTATGTAATGAAAAACTGAGTATTATATAAGCAGTTGAATGGGCAAGAGTTGTTGGTAGTACCGCGAAATATGGAGAAAGAAATAATATGGAATGCTCACAATTTCGGTCACATGAACTCACAAAAAACGTTGCACGCAATTCGACAAGACTTTTACATAGCGCATATAGAAAAAAAAAGTGAACCAGCATATTGCAAACTGTGTTGAGTGCATAATACACAATCGTAAAGCGGGGAAGCAGGAAGAGTTCCTGCATTGCATAGATAAGGGTGACTGCCCACTTGCTACTATCCATGTCGATCATTTGGGTATCTTAGATTCAACGTCGAAGAATTATAAGTACATTTTCGCTATAGTTGACGGTTTTTCCAAATTTGTTTGGCTATTTCCGACCAAAACAACAGACGCGCAGGAAGTAGTAAAACATTTGAGTACATGGGTCACAACGTTTGGAAATCCGCAACGCATTATAAGCGATAAAGGCGCAGCATTCGTATCAAATTTATTTAAAGAATTTTGTAACGCAAATAAAATTGAACACGTTAAAATAACCACAGGCGTTCCGAGAGGCAATGGCCAAATTGAGCGAGTCAATAGAGTAATTCTCTCGATGTTGGCGAAGTTGTCAGCTAGTGAGCCAGCTAAGTGGTACAATTATACGTCGGTGGTACAAAAGGCTATGAATGCGCACGTTCACTCGTCAACGAAATTTACACCATATGAGATTATGTTTGGCATAACAATGAAAAGCGAGATGTCTACCGATATAATAAATCTACTTCAAGAAGAATTATTGGTCGCATTTCAAGATGATCGTCGTATTCTGAGAGAAGAAGCCAGGGTCAATATTCAGAAAGCTCAAGAAGCGTACAAAAGAAACTTTGACAAAAAGCGTAAAAGCAGTCAAAACTACCAAAAAGCAGATTTGGTTCCGATAAAGGTAACACAATTTTCGAATAAGAAGTTATCAAACAAATTCATCGGACCTTATAAAGTCGTCGAAGTCAAACTTAATGGGAGATATGTCGTCGAAAAGGCAGCCAAGTTCATAGGGCCTCGCGTTACATCCACCAGTGTGGATAATATGAAGCTTTGGGTACATTTTGAAGTTGACGAAGATATGTCATCTGGGACAGATGACGAGCAGGATGACCGAATATGATGTTGGCAACCCTGCGTGATGTAAGCAACCCTGCGCGATGTAAGCAACCCTGCGCGATGTAAGAAACCCGGCGTAAGGTAAGGATAAGAAGGAGGAAGTAGAGAAAAAGAGCACGTGAAGTTGACCGAAGCTGAAAATCAAGTTTTTCCAAATCAATCATTTTAACTAAATGTAAAATATCTTTATACTTGTTTAAATAAACAACTGAAATATTTACTACGTAAATATTAACATTTTTTACATACATATATAGATTTATGTATACGTATATATGTATGTATGAAAGAACTCATTTCAGCTCTGCAGCTACCAAGCAATATATATATAAGTGATGCAGCGTGCTTCGCGTAACTACATCCATTCGTACATATGTACATATGTTTGTATGAATATATTTATGATGAAGCAAACGGGCTTCGTTGTGTACATGTATGTATATATGTTTGAATGGTTTTATATATATGTGTATGTATGTACATGTTTGTGTACATGCCCAGCAGAAATTTTATGCATACGACATCGCGGTTGGTGGCATGAACTTGCTACTGTGTATACATGCCAGTATAAATGAACGTTCATTTCCATTTAACACGCGTGGTTTCTCAGAGCGTATACGTACTCCAACCATACACTTGTACTACTGCTGTATACATATGGCTGTATTAATGTTTCAAACATACAAAAACGCATTAATGGAACAGTATTAAAGCATTTTTACAAGATATGTATCCCCATATGTAACTGCTTCTTTTCTGATACATTTTAATATACGGGGACATACAAAAAAGTAGCATTTACATATGCAAATGCATATTGTTTAGAATAATAGCGATTACGCCAAGTTCGAACACTGTTGTTTGCTTGATTGCTTTCAAGTGAAGTTTATTGAATTAATGATTACGTTTTTATACAAACTAAATGCTTACCCACCTAAATAATAAGGCCATACAACTTTAAATCGTAAGCAAAATTATTGTAAAGGCTTTATTCCCACGTTTTGGTTTACATAAGTATAATTAATGCAAGTGCTTTATTCCCACGTTTTTGGTGACATACGCATATTCCACATTTTGCGTCTACTTTCATTTGTGTGCATTGATCAACAATGTCTTATATGTAAATTGACACATGCCAAATTATTTGGCGATAAGAATACACTAAAAGGCATAAAGTGCAAGCTTCGCATAAAATAATGCAAGCGCAATTTAATACCCTGTTGAATAAAGCCAATGCAATATTAGTTGCGATCCCGTACGAGTCTGGACTAGTCAGAATCAGTCAGATTTTACTGGAGATCGATCCCGTACTCGGTTCTCTGACTATTGAGAGGACAAACAAGAGAGTAAATACGGTTCTCTCTCTGTCAGAAGTTACCAGTTTTAGTCCGAGAATTTTTTGCTGGTAAATTCTGGTAAATGTGTCAAACGATCAGCTGTAGTGTGTTTGGCAACCAAATTATAAACAAAGGAAAAATGCACTCTGCTAATTCATGTTGCAAAGTATTTAATTACTTGGTTAAGTGGATTCTAATGAATTTTAAAGTATTTTTTGGTTATTTACATGTGTGAGCTGAGTGTGTTTACATACAAAATAAGCAAAAATTTACAACCAAAATTTGGAGGTTATGTTGAAGTTGACAGAAGTTACCATTTTTTACTAGAAAGCGATCCCGTACTTTTCAATGTTACTCTCTCGTTCTAAGCGAATTATTATTTTTTGACAGGTTTACTAGTCCGAGTCCGAGGAATACGGGATTGCACCTATTAACATGTCGACTTTTCTTATTAAATAACAACCTCCCCCGGTTAGCGCAGCTCGAATTCCTTGGCAGGTTCTGTCCTAAATGTTTATCGTAAAGTCCAAACTTCCTTGAGAATGTCGAGGCGCAGGTGTGGGTTTTTCATTTCGGCCGGATGTGGTCGCTGTCGCTGTTTGGCTGTTTGAATTTTCTTTTGACTAGCATGAACACCAAAAGGCACAAAACTGTAACCAAGGCAGTGTACCCAACCGTTATGTGGTGCGCATTTTGTGCTTCAAGTTTGTTTGGTAGTTCTAATATGCGTCGATTGGCCAATGATGATTGTAAGGACGTGAGGTTTTGTATTTGTGTTATGTATTTCTCATAATCCCGTGATTGAAGAAGAGGCTTTATATGTTCTGCTGCAGCTACTTCGGAAATTTCTCCCAGGCTAGTGTAGGACGAGCAAAGACTCGTCGATATCAACGGATCTACTTGAACTGTTATAAAATTATGTTTGAGTATGCAGTCTGGTTGGAGTGATAAGAGTCCTGATCCTTTTAGAATCACCTGAATGATTTCTTTTCCACATACTGCTGTCGCACGAGATAAAACTGACGGGGCATAAATCCATTGATTTTTATGCTGTAGTGATATCCATGCAACATCGTTTGGTGTTTTTCGCAGTTGACAACTTGACTGGGTGTTGTTGTTGAATAAATTTACTTCACATGCGCATTTAGATGAACCGTGACTATAACGAATTTGAACTTTAGAACAGATGTAATTTCCATTTTCAATATCCACACAAGATTGAAATTTGGAGATGCTCAGAGGGAAATATTGACCGAGAGCTGCAGCACACGGACTTATTTTAATCATTGTCCCATTAGTCCAAGTAGGAATTGGTAGCAGATTGAATAAGTCGTATCGATCATACTCTATCAGAGGCAATGTGATGCTGAATACAACATGCTTTTCTGTAAGTCCTCCCTTAACCGTCATGAGTTGGTATAGCTGGAGTACATCTTCTTGGTTTACAGGCAGTTCCAATGGTGCTGATAA